AAATCAGGTCTGGTCCAGTCTGGTCCAGTCTAAATCAGGTCTGGTCCAGTCTAAATCAGGTCTGTTCCAGTTTAAATCAGGTCTGGTCCAGTCTGGTCCAGTCTAAATCAGGTCTGGTCCAGTCTAAATCAGGTCTGTTCCAGTTTAAATCAGGTCTGGTCCAGTCTGGTCCAGTCTAAATCAGGTCTGGTCCAGTCTAAATCAGGTCTGTTCCAGTTTAAATCAGGTCTGGTCCAGTCTGGTCCAGTCTAAATCAGGTCTGGTCCAGTCTAAATCAGGTCTGTTCCAGTTTAAATCAGGTCTGGTCCAGTCTGGTCCAGTCTAAATCAGGTCTGGTCCAGTCTAAATCAGGTCTGTTCCAGTTTAAATCAGGTCTGGTCCAGTCTGGTCCAGTCTAAATCAGGTCTGGTCCAGTCTAAATCAGGTCTGTTCCAGTTTAAATCAGGTCTGGTCCAGTCTGGTCCAGTCTAAATCAGGTCTGGTCCAGTCTAAATCAGGTCTGTTCCAGTTTAAATCAGGTCTGGTCCAGTCTGGTCCAGTCTAAATCAGGTCTGGTCCAGTCTAAATCAGGTCTGTTCCAGTTTAAATCAGGTCTGGTCCAGTCTGGTCCAGTCTAAATCAGGTCTGGTCCAGTCTAAATCAGATCTGGTCCAGTCTAAAACAGTTCTGGTCCAGTCTAAATCAGNTCTGGTCCAGTCTAAAGCAGTTCTGGTCCAATCTAAATCAGTTCTGGTCCAGTCTAAATCAGGTCTGGTCCAGTCTAAAGCAGTTCTGGTCCAGTCTAAAGCAGTTCTGGTCCAGTCTGGTCCAGTCTAAATCAGTTCTGGTCCAGTCTAAAGCAGTTCTGGTCCAGTCTAAAGCAGTTCTGGTCCAGTCTGGTCCAGTCTGGTCCAGTCTAAAGCAGTTCTGGTCCACATTCAGAGACAAACAGAAACCTGTGTTTTTATAAAACAGTCTGTTTAGATTGACAGTGAAACTGTTTTATTGTGAAGTTTAAAGAGGATAAAAACAGGAAGTGAGGTCATCATGTGGTTGAACCTGAAGCTGCTGCAGGTGGAGGAGGTCTGTTCAGGCTCTCCAGGATCAGTGGGTTTCACTCAGAACCCCACGGTCCTGTCAGGTGGAACATGTGACTCACAGACCGCAGGCTTTCTGCCTCTGACTGGGTCTGAGGCCGGTTTCCATCTTTTAACTTCCTGTTTGTCCTCTGCAGCTGCGACCGCAGCGTCTTTAAAGGTTTCACTTTCAGGTGATGTCATCCTGACACTCGTTACATACTTACATACTTATTTATTTATTTATTTATTTATT